TGAATATACAGATACAAAATGGTCCTTCACTTGTATTCCCTTTTTTTGCTTAGTTTTCTCATTTAAATATTATAGGTATGGGGCCGGGGAGATGGCTCAGTGGAATAAGTGCTTCCCAGGCAAGCACAAGGGCCTGAGTTCAATACCCAGTTCCACAAAAAAAAAAAAAAGAACTTGTTTAGGGCTGGAGAGATGGCTCAGTGGAATAAGCGCTTCACTGGCAAGCACAAGGGCCTAAGTTCAATCCCCAGTTCCAAATAAATAAATAAATAAATAAATATTATAGTGTGTGAATTCAGCAAAATATTCCAAAACAGTCCAGTAGTCCATAATAGTAGTGGGTTTTCTGTATGACTGGCAATGTCAGAAGTTGTTGAATTGAGCCTTTTACAGCTCAGCATATTGATATGGCTTCACTTTTTATACTTCATTTTTATACTTTTCTGCTGGATGGTTAAGACCAAGATAAAGCAAGACCTATGTAACAAGAAATGTAGCTTTTCTGTCTGGCAGGGTCAGTCAAATCCCCTCCAGACTTATCCTGAAACTCTGCATCACAGTTTGTAGATCCTTTGTCAGTCACAGCCATTGCTTGACCAATTTGCTCTCTGTGAAAGCCTGAGAGAATGTTTTCTCTTCATGTTGCTCTCCTGAGGAACACTCTACATCATCGATCACTTTCCTCTGTGGTCCCATAATCTCCTTAATCAGAAAATGTGGGACACAACTGATTTACAAAATGTTACAGCACAGGTTCTCCTATATCCTGAGTCCTCACCGACCCTGAAAGGCCAGGGTCAAAATGTTGGCTGTCCCTGAAGCCCTCCCTTCTCTCCAATTTTTGGTCTGCAAACCTAGATTGTTAACCCTCCAGGAGAGAAGCTTATTGTTATTACCCTACAACCTAGGCTGTTGAGCTCAACCTCACTATCTGTATGAGTATCAAACATCTTAGGCATAACATGGAGCAGATATGTTTCATCAAGTATTAATATGTTAAACTTTAGGTCCCTACAGAAGATAAAGAAAATTTAAAAAATTAAAATATATTTTAAAAAATAGGAACAATTACACATTTTTACAAATAAGTTTAGAAATCCAGCCATATACAGCATTGTAGCAAGTCAGTCCCACAACACCCTTTTTCCTGTCTCCTGCCTTCATTCACCACCCCCTTCCTTACAAAAAGAATTTATTAAGAATCAGGTTCAACCAAATTTAAAGACCCAATCCAAAACTGGGCATCTGACATGAATACACACTTCTCACATGAAGAAGTACAAATGACAAACACATGAAAAAATGTTCAACATCACTGGTCATCTGAGAGATGCAAACTAAAACAACACTGAGGTTTCATCTCACTCCAGGGAAAAAAGGCTATTATCAAGAAATTAACCAACACCAAATGCTGCAAGGGATAAAAAAGAACCCACTTCCACTCTTGGTGGGAGTGCAGACTAGCACTGTGGAAATCAGGATACAGATTCCTCCCAAACTAAAACTAGAGGCTCAAGTCAACCAGCTGTTTAGCTTCTTGATATCTTCCTAAAAGAATCAAAAACATCATTACCAGTGATATACACACACCCATGCTTATGCACAGTTCATAATAGCCAAATCTTGGAAACAGATCAAATGCTCGTCAACTGATGAATGGATAAAGATGTGAGTTTTTATACAATGGAGTACCACTCTCCTTTAAAGAAAGATAAACGAGCAATTTGTAGGTAAATGGATGCACTGTGAGCCCATACTCTTAAGTGAAATAAATCAGACACACGTGTAAATACTGAATTACTTATCTAGTGTGAGAAAATCCAAAATGTAAAACAGGTAACTGTGAAATATAAAATGTTCAAATGGGAAGGAGAACTAGTGAGGAGGAAGGGGGAAAGGAAGGTTTTAAAAAAAGACAAGAAAAAAATGGAAACAGTTTTTAAATAAGTAGGGGAAGCAGGATTGTAGGGAGGGTAGGGAAATGGGGGGGGAAAAACTCAAATAGAGGTACAAATTCCTTGTGATGAATGTGATCAGCATGTGTATCAAAGTGTCTCATATAGTTAATTTAAAAATAAAAGAATGAAATAAACCTACATATATAAAAGTTTTTAAAAATTAAAATTTTAAAATTAAAAAGCACCACTTTTATTCTTTAAAAATATACACCAAGAGGGCTAGCCAGACGGCTCAGCAGACTAAAGCAACTGCTTAGACAGAGCGTAGGGCCATGGGTTCAATTTCAGGTATGCTGTGCCAGCCCTGACCCCAGGGCTCACTGAGATCATAAGTAAGACTAGTTGTGGTGTGTGCCTCTAATCCCAGCACTTGGGAAGCTGAAAACAGGAGGATCGCTAAAAGTCGGATCTACATAGTAAGACCCTGTAGACCTTGTACTAAAAAA